TATATTTGCATAATCTAAAATACTGGCTTCCGTGTGCAGGTGAGGATGAGGCACCTGAGAAAGATGACATAAATGCCAAGGAAGGGAATGAGCCACCTCACAAGAAAAACAAGAAACACAGAAAACACAAGAGCAAGAAGAAGAAAAGGAGGAGGAAGGGGGAAAAGGAGAGCAGTTCAGAATCTGGTGCTGATTCGGATGTAGAGCCACCACCTCCACCGAGACCTGTCAGGACAACCAGAGCCAGGTCAGTAGAACTAAAATGTTATCTAACATTACATTTTGTGAAAATGTGTAAAATAAATTGATTGTTGTCTGAGACTTAATAGATTTATTCTTTCAACCTCCATGAATTTTTACATTTTTATCAAATTCAAGCTGGATACTAAATAAAAATTAAAGCTGTGTACTATTTATTTATTTTTTGTCAAAATTTCTATATTTCTTCAAGTTACTGTAATTTGCAATAGGAGGTGTAAAAGGCACTAGACACCAATTCAGTTTAACACACATCTATCCAAATTTCCTGTATTATCTCGGGAGATTTGTCTGAAAAAAGCCACCAATCCCATCACAATACTTTTTAGGCTTGCCTAAACTAGATTTTGTACCTTACCCAAACTGTGACCTACTTTTTTTTTTTTTTTTNNAATGGGATTTCTTTTTTTTTTTTTTTTTGTATTGGAGACAACACATTAAGGAAAAACGACAATTTATGTGAACACTTTCTTTGTGTTTGTAGTGCCAGACTGGCTGCAGCAGCTACAGGACCTGACGACAATGCTGGGCTGAAGGAAGAGGGCAAAAGGGATGTAATTACAGGTAGGAGACTCTTACACACAAACACAATTCGTATTTTCTTTAAAAGAAATGGATTCATTTTATTGAAAAAAAAAAAAATCCTCACTTCTCCTCTCAGATCGTGCGGAAACGGAGGGTGATGCAAAATCCAAAAAACACAAAAGACATGCTGCTAAGAAGAAGAAAAAGAAGAAGAAGAAGGATGAAAAGCAGGAAAAGAAATCCCCATCTCGCTCCCCATCTGAAAGCAGCTCAGCTTCAGGTTCTGAGTCTGAAGGTGAAGGAGGTAAAGGGGCTGGTGATGGCAAATACTCTCCAGCTGCAGCATCTGACCTGCAGGAACCAGTGTCCAAACTGGTTCCAAAAAGCAAACGAGGGGAGGAGAAGGGGGTTCCTATCCTTACACAGAATTCTGATGTGCTTGGAGTGAAGAAAGAGGCGATATCAGATATGGCTGTGTCCCCATCTGGAGGCAAGGGCAGTAACACCAATGGCTCAGAAAAGGACACTAGGTCACCCTCTGCAGGCCAGGATGAGATAACACAGACTGCAACAGTTAAGGTTAAGACAGAGGGTAGTCATGCTGGTAGTACATTCAGTCATGCCCATGAACTCCCTGACATCATCCCTAAACAAGAAGGTGCTACCCCAAGAGATGACCCAGGCCTTAAAGATCAGGCCAATTCAGTTCAGCGGCCAAAGGCCAAGGAACATGATTCTTCCAGGTCAAGGTCTCCCTCCCCTTCCAGGGGCCTAGACATTAAGAGGTCTGGGTCAAGACATAGTCCGTCACCTTCACCTAGTCCTAGTAGGCAGCAGTCCGATGGTCAAACAGCAACAGCAGTGAAAGAACGGTCAAGAAGCCTTTCCAGGTCAGTCTCAAAGGGAAAACGCTCTATAACCCCTCTAAAGAGCCGGCAGCTGTCCCGCTCACTGTCCGGCTCTCAGTCCCCTAAATCTAGGAGGAAGTCACTCTCCCCGTCCCCAAAGTCAAAGTCACCCAAAAGAGCTAGCTGTCGGTCCCGGTCCACCTCTCGCTCCCCCACCCCCAAGAAGAAGGTGCCAAAAGCGTCAAAGAAGTCCAAATCTCCTAAACGTCGGAGGACTTCATTGTCTGTTTCCCCAAAGCGACGCAGAAGTTCCCACTCACCTAAAAGAAAGGTGTCACGATCCCCTAAACGTGGTGGGCGCAGGTCCCCCTCTCTATCTCGGTCTCCAAGGAGAAGTCGAAGGTCAGAGTCACGGCCCCGTGGAGGCAATAGGCGTTCCAGGACCCGCTCACCTAGACGAGGTGGTGCAGTTGGCAGGCGTTCACGATCACGTTCCATTAATAGGACCCGTCGCTCCCACTCTAGATCAAGACGCCCTGTTCATCGCTCCAGGTCCCGGTCACTGGGAAGGCGCACAGGAGGCAGGCGCTCCAGGAGTCGATCTGTGTCTAGACGTAGGAGGTCACCACCCCCGAGATCCCGCCGCTCACGATCCCGGTCTGTCCGCAGGAGCAGGCGGACTCGATCACGTTCTGTTGTAGTTCTTAAGCGCAACCGTCGCTCCAGATCTAAGAGTCCCCGCAAAAGGACCAAATCCAGGACCCCTCCTTCCCGACGAAAGTCCACATCCCGATCACCTGTCAGAAAGCGCTCTCGATCCCCTGCCAGGAGAAATCGCTCTCCACAAAGGTCTAGCAAACGCTCCAAATCCCGCTCCTTGTCTCGGAGGCATTGGTCAAAGTCACGCTCACCACCACCTGGCAAGAGGAGGTCCAAATCTCCTAGGAAGGGTGGAAGAAGGTCAAAGTCTAAATCTGACTCTGCGGTTTTGAATAAATCGAAGTCCAGTTCCAGGTCTGTGTCAAGTGATGGGGGGTCTGAGAGCTCCTCCCCAGCCAGATCCACATCTTCCTCTCCTGTTAAAGAAAAGAAGCCACCCTCTCCTAAGGTTGAGCAGCCAGCTGGTGGGAAGGCAACGAGCGAAAGTGGAGATGTTCCAGTTACAACAGGTCAGACCTTTTCCATGGCTTTGTTTTCAAGCATCAGCTACGATAAGATTGTTAAAAAGAGCATTCCATTACAAAAACAAAAGCGAAACTCAACTTTCTGTTCTTTACAAACTGGCAGATGTTATTTGTAATATCAATTTTAAGTGTAAAAGTGCAATATTAAAACTCGGCAATGACACTTCAGTAACCCCTTAACCCACAGTCATCCAATTGTAGTGTATACAGATCTTAAAGTACGGGCTACAAAAATATAATATTCAATCTTCAGTAAGTTGTGATAATGTTGCCTTGAAAGGGCCTAATGTGTCTTTATGCCTTATCATTTTATTTGTACCATGCAGGTGTGTGGAAACCCATGACCTCAGCAGTTGCCTCCAGCCCCCCTGCTGCAAGCTCCTCTGATAAGTTGCCGCCCCAGACGCTTGCTCCCAACAATGACAAGCAACAGAGAGAGAGTGCCAGCTCATCCAATGAACAAGATGTCTCCAGGTCTGGTTCCAGAGAGCCTGGCACTAGCCCAGAAAAGTCAGATTGTTCAGAAGGCTCAGATGAAGAAGAGGAATCTCCCGTTAAAACCCTTCTCAGGCTCCTCAGCTCTACAGTTCCTGCATCTCCGGGAGAGCAGAAGAAGCAGCTGTCCAAGTCACGCTCACCTGCGGATCGCAGGAAACTTTCACGCTCAACTTCTTCGCCTCGGCGATCTACGTCCAAGTCTGCATCCAGAAAGAAGCAGTCTAGGTTTGTTGTGTGTATGTGCCTGTCCTGTGTGTGTGTGTGTGTTGGGGGGGGGGGGGTTCTGTGGGAGTTAAATACTTTAAAGTTTATTAAGATTTCGAAAAGTATTAATATTAAAGACCTAATTCTCACATTATGCTGCACTAATAGTTGTAATTTAAAAGGCAGTACTGTGCATAG